AAAGAAGAAGAAGAGGGGAAAGGGAAAGTGGGAGAGAAAAAAAAGGAAAAGCGAAAGTGGGGACTTTTTTTCTCCTCCCGGTTTTGTGCGTTTTGAGCTGACTAGCCCAATTATTTTTTTTTCCCTTATGGGTGTATTATTATTCTCTCTTTTTTTTTGATTGCTCACCTTCTTCTCCTTGACTTTCATTTGGGTCCTTTTTTTTGATTTCAAATCCTCTATACTTTCATGTCTTTGACTCACTACGCTGACTTTTTGCCATCCGTGGGTGCTCCGGTGACGTTTGACAGTCATATCACAAGCGAGAGGTGTATTCCGACTCTTTTTATAGCTATATCTGGGATATACAACATAATATAATCTCTTTGACCTTTCTAAATGAGTCAATTTAGAGCTTATGATTCATTTCATGCTTTTTAGCTTTCCCAAGGTTCCCTCAAACACACTTGACTCTGTCCAAAACCCCTCTATCAACTTGGTGGGGCAATGCAACATTAGTAAGCCATTTCAAATTGATCCCCAGGGCTACAGCATATAGCTCAAGAGCTCAATGTATGGTACACCGATATAGCTATTATTTATATGTGTACATAGTATATAATTCAAAATAGAGATACCTCAAACCTTCAATTGCATTGAAAACAACATCCTCTTTCTACATAAAACTAGGAGACAAATTTTCACCGATCTTCTGGCTCGTGCAGCACCGTACATTAGTGGGGGCAAACTCCTCATTTGGAGGCACCAAGGCACCAAGGCATCAAGGCATCAAATCATCCCACCTGCATACACCTAGTTACCTAGTTAGTTATATCATAGAAAGAAACTACAAAGCTACATGTAGTCAAAGCAAAGTTAATAAAACCAAACAAATAATTAAATCTGTCAAATGCTTGACTCTACAACTAAAATAGAGGATCTCAAAAACAATCCATAAATCGGGACGGTCTTTCAGCCCGAGTGTTCCGGTGCCCAGTCCCGGCAGCCATCCCGGCCGTATGATATGGAATCGTGCGATTCAGCGGGCGTTTCCGTTGGCCAGAAAATCCAAATGATAAGATTGGAACCTTCCATTGTGAAGTACCGTACCCATATGGCCTCCCTTGCCAATTCCTTCACTCTCCCAGAAACTAAGCATGACCGAAAGCAATATCACCCAAGCTCATAAGCCATTGCCACCTTACCAACCGACGAATCCGGTGAACTAGCCCGTCTATCTAATTCCATTGATGGCCATCTTTGCTACCTGGGTGCTTTCTAAGCTGCGTGTTCTCACATGTGGCTCAAGGTCTTAGCCATTCTAATAATCAGGGGGCTCCTCACGTAATGGGGTGTATAGCCTAGCCTCCTTTTTTCCTCCTCGCTATACTTATTGACTTGTAAAGGCTGTCCAATCTGCTATAATATACTAAATGCAACTAACATAGGATCCTGACCGAACTATCCTAGAAATTAATATCTTGTTGTCACAGTCATGAATATGTTTGGTGTGATACAGTGAAACGGCAACCTATCAAGGGATGAGGCAGGATACTGCAAATACAAAATCACCAGTAGTAAACCTCGTCACTTCAAAATGGTTCACACTTAATTGTACAACCTCAGCGCTATATATGCATTAAGTCTTTCCATATTTCTGTACAGGCAATAATTTATCATGACATATACTGTACGGGCTTCGAATGAAGTTCTTATATGCCCTGCAAGGCCTATCCATGGAGAAATATATATATATGGTTAGTCAAATCCAGAACAAGCACCATATAGTTACATAGGCAGTGATGCCAGTTAGTTTAGAACAAGCAAAACTAGAACTATATCTTACACTATTAGATGGGATGATGGACAAGGCAATCAATAAATTGTTGGCTGAGACACAAGTGTTGCGTTACCATTTTTGAAACTCACTAGATGGAAACTAAATATCGTCTTTTAATCATCTATAACTTAGTATACCTCTCTTCAATATAGGTATTCTAAACCAATATTTTTTCAGTCAATTAGCCCCCAAATATTCCGTACATTCAGACCCTCAAACACCTAGCGGGCGCCACCTAATCGCTAAGAGCTCCTTGGATAAGCGAGTCCAATTGCGACTAAGCCAAGTTGTTCTGCTATAGCCAGATAACAATCTTACTCTAAGCCAGGGGTTTAGCGTCAATTTAGTTATACCATATTTAGCCCCTATACAGAGCAGAAAAATTAAAATGTCGATCCCCAGTACAAAGATGAGTTGTAAAATATCCCCACGTTTAACGTTTAACCGCCGATCGACATCCGTAGTGGGTCGTGGCTTTTCGTCCTGGGCGTCCTGGGCGTCTCTTATAAATGCTTTGTCTGGAAAAAAGAGATGTGCCTGCTGTGTTCAATGTGCCTTTAGAACACAAGAATGTCGCGAAATATGTTGCCAATACACAGTTAAGGAGGGACGATACAGTCCTCCTTCCAATCGGCAATAATGTATGATGTCTTTGTCTTGATCCTGATAACATTTACCTATAACTTACTAATTGTTACCTTTTCAGGAAAATATTATTTACACCAACATCTACTAGGCACCCCGCCACAGAGCATCGAGGTGGAATTTTGGATGGTCAGTAATGGATGCTAGGTGCCTATAAGGACCTCGTATGATTGTGCTATGTTTCGAGCCAATACAAACTGCAACGGCTCCGGTGGCTATAACAATACCCTTTCTACCAATATGACTGATATGCATTCCAACTTCACCGTTAGCAAGTCGATTGAATCAGACATGACCATCACTGGGGGGTAACCGATACTCTTATTGTTGGAGACACAACCTGGAGTCTATGAAGCTTGGAGTGTCCGTTGTATTTGGATTTGTTCACACCACCAGAAAGAAGAGCGCCTTGTTTCTCATCCTACGAGACTTCTGTGGATGCAGGATATAGAGGATTTTCCATATACATACTAAAATCCGGGGATCTGATGGTTCCAGCATTAATCAATGCTTCAGTAAGGGGGATAAAAGACGAGTTTGTTTCGCCATATCCTAAGCCAATAATATCTATTCAAGAGATTAGTTATATATGACCTCAGGATTGTATAGACGTGTCGGATTACTCGGAGCGGCATCCACACTGGGAATTCCATATACTTCCTATCTTCAACAACCCTTCCGATTATAGAAAGGTTTTTCGGGTCAATACGACGAGCCTCTCTACCAATGAAACACCGATGTTTCCCAAGGGTGGAGTGGGGTGGGGGTAGGCGCCTTGATACAAGATCTACTTGATCCCTTGTTGTCTTATTGTCTTATACCTATGTCCTAGAACCCATCGCGCAGGATATCTTCTCTCAATTGGGTGCCACTGAAACCCAACGTCTGGGCCAACCTCTATCCCATATAATACAACTTCCAGTGACACAATGCACGTTCGAGTTCGGGGCTGCGAGTTTCAAGCTTGATATCGGTCTATTCATAGAAGCACGTAGCGCAATTATTGATGAGGACACCTGCCATTTGGGCATTGTCGCGAAAACCGATACCAAGGACGCAAACAGTGTTGGGCTTGGGGCAAACTTTCCTCGATAGATCTACACTGTCTATGATACGGGCAGTAACGAAATCAACTCCAACGAAGATGAAATCCTCGAAATCACGGCTGGCAAGAATGAAGTCCCTGGGCTACATTGGAAAAGGGTGTGACAGGTGATACAGAAGCCAAAGATTCCCACGAGGAGAAGTCTACCAGCTCCCGCATTTATAACAGTGTAGGCCTGCGGCTCTCCTTTCTATCTTTGTGATATGGGCTCTCTCTGTTTATAGAATTTGATGTATACTATGTTATTTTACCTAGCTCGTCATGAAGTCTTTTGAATTCTTCCCTGAACACATATGGTTATAAGAATCTGTTGGTTAGAATTTGCCTGTCTGATCTATTCATGCATTTCCAACGATTCGACATAGAAAATGTAAAGCCGAGACAGGCAATCGGGTTTAGTATTCCCCTCGAACGTCTCCAACCCAGCGACAAATTCATCCCATGAGCCATTCGATGCCATAGGAGCATTGTTATAGAATTGCAGTCCTGAAATGTGCATGATATTTTCCAAATCCGGGAGCAGGCCATCCGCCGCTTGGGATTCCATCTCCCGATGGATCTCTCTACTCAGCCCACCTTGCTCGACATACCAGGCAGAGTCTTCTTTTATGACTCCGATGTCGTAGATATCAAGCAATTTGGTATTGGGATTGGTTTCCCTGGCAGCTTCGAAGGCTATTCAATGACGGATTGCGTCGACTAGCGGAAGGAGCAAGTGGTAGGAATGATATCCCGATTAAACCGTTCGCTTCGTTTTGAACCCTAGTCAACAGATTCAATATATAAATCATTTCTTCATACCTAATTTTAGTGCAATAACTATATATGTACCTGTATGGATGGATGCAGGAGCATTCCCTGAGTAACAAAAGAAAGCATGGAATCTTAGAGCAATCCGCCTCAAGCCAAGGGTCACGATAAGTCACGATAAGTGACGATAAACCAGATAAACCACGATAAACCACGATAAGCGATAGGATCTTCTTGAGGTCACGATAAGGGTGTGTATATCACGTGCCACAATACGCCAACGACATCTGGCAGCCAGCCTTCATCGCTTTGTTCCTCAACATATTCACATCTCTCAAGCCTTGTACTGTATCTGTGGGAAGCTGTGTGTCAATCAGACTGTGGGCTCTGAAATATCGGCTCTGCCTTAGTTCACTGTCAAGGCCTGTTTACCCCTGCGAAGCATTCTATATTGGAAGGGCAAATGCAGAGACTCGGCGTGTCGACTCGATTATATGGATGTTTGAATTTCCTAGGTGGGGGATCGCTTTTCGATTAACTAAGCGACCAGTACGAGGTGAGTCCCAAAATGCTCGGCGGCGCCGCGACGCGACACGATTGCTTCCATCCCATCTACCCTTTCCAATCATTGAATTTACGTCCGGATTCGATCGATTACGGCCCGTGTAATTCTGAAACGGAATGGCTAACGAGTCTTCTAGACTCCAAAATCTAATTGAGGAGCTCGGGTTTCCCCCAAGCGAGCATCAATTCTTGCTTCGTCTTTTCGGCTCGTCCGACCCATTTTCTTGGCTTCCTGGTGCAGACCTAGAGACCAGTCACAGCCGGAATCAATCTGGTCAAAATAGCTCTACCAGTATTGCTCGCAGACTTGCATCTGCTAGGCTCTGGCAAGATATTCCTCCATTTACTGAGTAGATTTCCCTGACTAACCTGCCACCCTCACAGTGAACGTGCCAATCAGCTTCGTCTACGATCCGAGCACCGTCATCCTAGTGACTCCCGTGAAGGTTTAGAAGGCAGAGATCGGGTTCACTACGAAGAAGAGTGGACTTCCCTGATCGGTACAGATTCAGAATCACTGCTCTCCGAGTTACTCCAACAGCTTGCAACGGACGACGAGCCTCCCTCCCCTGAAGACCCTAAGGCATCAGAGAACGTTGCACACCCTGGATCATTTGCACCCCCGAGCCCGTCAGTCTATGACAGCGAAATAGGTGAGCCACCCGACTCTGTTGATAACTTCGACGAGACCCCCGGAACCCAAGGCAATTGCGAAGAATCCCAGGACCCGAGGACATTAAATCAACCTGGGAGCTTTGAGCGGCTACTTGAATCATTCTCAAGTCCACCCGGTTGCAATCAAACAGTCAAGGGCCAGAGTTTCTCCCACCTTTATTCCGACGCCCAACGAGTGCCACCGAAAGACAGTGCCCAGGCTAACACATCAACGCTTGCCAGCAGTCAGATCAAACCTGCGACTAGTCTTCCTCGGATTTCCCGATTCTCTGAAGATTTGGGAGACAGTAGCCCGATCGGAGAACAATATTCTTCCAGCATCTGTGCCAAGGCTGATACATCTGCACTCAACACCAGTAGGCTCGACACCAGTGGGCTAGGTAATACCTCTCCTAGTTCTTCTAGAATCTCCCCGCCGGTTTATTCAACTGTCACCAACACTCGGAACACTTCCCTTCATATCCCTTCCCTGACCCCCAGCGGCTCTTTCGGAGAGTTACGTCTCCCTGTTGATCATCACGAGGGACAACGAGCGGATCCTGAAAGCTCCCACAGGGCCCAGGAGCGCACAAACCGGTACACATACACCCCTTTCCCTGAACCCTCCTCGAGAGTTCGTCCGATTAGCCGTGTGATCAGAAGGCAGTACTCCTTCCGCAGCATCTTCGAAGGGCGCGCTACACCTACAGATCCCCCTCGATATTACAAAAATACGCCTCTTCATATCTCTACTCTTCCGCCGGCGGTCTCTTTCGCCTCTAGAAAAAGGAACACATCAAAGCCCAAGAGAATCTGGAAGAATTGTGTTAAAAAGGTCAAACATTTGCTTTGTCGAACCCGCAAACGCACGCCATCTGCTCTCAATCATTAATTCCACGTCCGAGAAGCCGCATATCTATACAATCCCTTCAAACTCGTCTCACTCAACCTCCATCTCTATCTTTATTCCTTGCTCACTTTTATACCTGTCTCATTCTTACGATCATCCATTTTCACACCTCGCTCATTTCAAGCCTATCTTCCCTCACAATGGACTCTCGAACGTCTCGTCTCCTGGACCCATCCTCGGCAATGGCGGCCATCACCAAGCACAAGGCAGAAGCGATCAAGCTAGCTCGCGAACAAGGGGTGGCTGTCCAAGAGATGTGTCGTCGTGCGAAAACCGAGGTTCCACCATACGAGTTTGAAGAGTTGATAGGCAAAGGTGCCTATGGTCGTGTTTACAAAGGTCATCAAACACCATCGGGCCGGCTGGTTGCCATCAAAGTCCTAGATATTGACTCGCTAGACTACAAGTCGCTTCGGGATTTCAGAGATGAGTCAATCAAAGATTTCATTCATGAAACAAAGGTGATGAAGCAAGTGAAGGATTCCGGTGCAAAAAACATCAATGAGATCATTGAAGCCATCTCAATTCACTCTCAGTTGTGGCTGGTTTGTGAGTATTGTCCCGGTGGCAGTGTCCGTACCTTGATGCGTGCAACAAACGACAAGCTCGATGAGAAATACATCATTCCAATCGCTCGTGAGCTAGCTGTTGGGCTTCATGCTATTCACGAAGCTGGAATCATTCATCGTGATGTCAAAGCTGCAAATATTCTTGTTCATGAAGAGGGTCGTCTGGAAATCTGTGACTTCGGTGTTGCTGGTGTCCTTCAATCACAGCGAGACAAACGATCCACCTGGATTGGAACACCACACTGGATGCCACCAGAGATGTTTGCAACCCGTGGAGAGGCCCATCAATATGGCAATGAGATTGATGTGTGGGCGTATGGGTGCACACTGTTTGAATTCGCGAACGGGAACCCGCCAAACGCAGGCCTGCGAGAACGAATGCAAATCGGTCGCCAACTAAATCGCAAGACTCCCCAGCTGGACAGCGATGTGTACAGCCAAGGCCTGAAGGACCTTATTTCCTACGCCCTTGACTCCAACCCTGAAACTCGTCCCACGATGGCAGACATCCTTGCCCACCCCTACATTGCCGGTACGGAAGAGGAATATCCAACCGCCTCGGTTGGTGAGTTGGTGAGAAACTACTACCAGTGGTCCCAGCGAGGAGGCCAGCGGATTTCTTTGTTCCACCCAGGCGGTGCCGCGGCAGCTGAACTCCCAGGCATCGAGGAGTCAGAAGATGACTGGAATTTCAGTACAACAGATGGATTCGAGCGAAGATTCTCTGTCATTGACCTGGACGAAATTGCCGCCTCGCTGGCGGAGATGCAGCAGTCCATCAGTCCTACCGACACAACTCCTGAGCAAGAGATGTACGAAAAGTTTTCGGAGGATGATCTTAACTATGAAGATAAGGTCAATTTCGATGAACGTGTGCGCCGAGGCGCAGTAGCAATGGAAGGCCTGTTTAATGAAGAGAAGCCCAGCTACACATATGAAACAAAAAATGACTTTGTCCCCATCGAACCTGCCCAACCCACTTCCGATCTTCCCCTTCGTGCGGAAACAGACCGCTCCTCTGTCACATCAACTTTTCTCGATATCGATATCGGGTCATTCGAGGCCTCGCACTACGCAGCAGGAGCTCCATCTGCGCAGCCTTTCCAATTGGTCGATGCAAATACTATCCGCGCGACCCGGTCCAGTCTTCGATTGAACAGGACCCCCTCCGAGAATAGCTCAAAGTCGTCTGATAGCGGCGTGGATGACGATGCGAACCTCGAAGATACGTTCGTGCCTTCCGGTCCTCGACCTCCCACCATGGACTGGAAATTCCCGTCATTCACACAAGATGAAGAGGAACAACCAGAAGAAGAAAAAGCAGAAGTAGAAGAAGAAGAGAAGGAGGTCCCTGCACAGGAGCATGTCACAGACGAGTCTTTCCAGGCTGAGAAGCGAGCTACCATGCAGTGGACATTCCCAGTGATGGGATCCGTGCCCGAGAGCCAAACCTACGATGACCGACATGACACCCTCCGGGCCCCGCTGCCTGAGGTTCAACCTCCACCGCAGTCGCAGCCACTGTCAACAGATGAACCGGGTGACTCACGTCCTTCGACTTCGGCATCGAATACCTCCGACTCAGATTACGATCCCTTCCGCTTCGATCGCCCCACCACCCCAGAGGGTGCAAACTCGCTTCATCACAGTCATTTCTTCGACACAGAACTTCCCGCAATGCTGGAATTAGCCGGTTACAATGAATATGAGGCTTCGGGGATTCTCGATGGCCCCGGGCCAGACGAAGAATCTCACCCTGTATGGAAGGAGCACTCCAGAACTTCCTCGTATGAAGATGGTATGACAGCTTTACCTACCGCCGTTCCAGTTCCCCAAACCCCCCCACTGCTTCCTCAGTGACTTCGGGCCCGGTCTCAGAACCGGGATCTCCCGTGTTCGAAACTATTCGACATGTACGACACGACATGTCTGAAGTCCCCATGCCACAGGTAGAAGATAAGGGACCAATCCCCTTCCCAGCTCTCTATCCTCCGAATGCAGCGAGTCTGATGGAGGGCACTGATGATGGTGTGGTGGCAGCAGAACTCAACCGTTTACTAGGTGATTTCCTAGAGTCGCTTTCGGCGACTGGTGAGGCATTGTCACGGGCCGAGATCAAGCATGAGATGAATGGTGTTCAGGTTGTTGAGCAGGTCTAGATGACCAAATATGGATCTGTGGGATATTATTACTGGCAAGTAAAGCCCTGAAAAGGATCCAGGAGTGTCAAGTTATCTACAATATCAATAACTAATATTATGTTCGATTTGCATGCATTTTATCTCCACTACATAGTTTCCAGGAAGGATGATGATGTAGACACCACTTCTTGGCTGCTAGAGATAAAGATGTATCCTATTTGATAGCTGAAAATACACTTGGAGACATGTCTGTAGTATTAAGGGTCCTGGTCAAGCCTGATAAGCATGACTGAACAAGGTAGAAGCATATACACTGAACTTGTCTGGCAGGCTCCGAGTTGGCACCTCAAGTGCCCAGGTCTTAATTTGAAGAGGCAAAGTCTCCTCCATTCTTTTGTCTACTCTTTCTCTTCTTGCCCCATCTCGCATTTCATCTCTTCTTCTTTTTCTTCATCCTCCTTCATCACTTCTTCCCTTTGTATCTCCCTATCCATCCTCAAATACCTCAGCAATGCCACGAGAAGCCTCGGTGCCCTTTGGTGGGTTCTCTCCTCCACAGAACCCTGGTGAATGGAAGAGGGCTCTCCTTGATGTGAAATGGCTATGTCTCAATCAACAATACAAGCAATGTGCCTTGCGTTGCAATCAGCTCATAGACACCGCGTCTAGTCCGGTTTGTGTTTCACGTATACCATCCCAAATTCTGATTGCTAACGGGTTTATGCATAGCTTCATCCGATCTGTGCGACCTACCTCCACTATTATGCAGCCACCTCATATGAGTACATGGGACGAGCAGCTCATATCTTTTCGGCTGTCAAAGTCCCGCTTCTGACTTCTGCTATGGAACGGTTTCAGACTTCCTATGAGTCTTTGCCAGCTACTATCCCTGTACCAGTTCTGAATCCCAACCAGACCTATTCGCCAGTTACTTTCCTTCTTTCGCCCGACTCGACTCCTCGGTCTTCGTTGAGTACTACCGAGTGGAGCCCTGCAGTTTCCCCGGCCTATGGTGTCCCTCCTGGTCCTGATCCAAATGCTCAAACTCTGTCAGTTCAGAATCTGTCGGCACATAATGCTAGGCTAGCTCACACTCCTCCTTCGCCTGACCATTCTCCCTATTCCTCTCCAACCCATTCTGTTACCACTGCCTTTTGTCTCACGCCACCTCCTACTGTTGGAGAAGCCTCGCGTCTTGACTATAGCGCTCCTGCTCCTCCAGCCTTTCATATCCCGCCTCCGAACTATGCGCCTCCACCTCCACCACGCGCCGTTCCTGTTCGCCCGGCTACCAGGGATCAATTACTCTCTTTTAATAGTGCCCGAGATGGACTTCCCAACGGGGGATCTATCGTTCGAAACATTGCACGCATGATTGATAACTCCATTATTGCGGGAGCCGACGACCCTTTTGTGACCCGCACGCCGCCAAAACATCCCGATCTAAAGCGGCCACCAGTGCGTCTATCTCCGATCACGTTCCCAGCTGAACTTGAGGACCCGGTAAAGCGCAGCGAGCTCATTCCATCCCCACTTGCCATTCGGAAGAGCTCTGGCGAAGTGCTCATGTGCGGCAGCTCTGCAATGGTAATTTGCGGAGGCTCAGAGCAAGAAACGTCTAGGAATGAGGTGAATCGACCAGTCCGAGCTCGCCCACCCCGGCTACCCTTGAAGATAATCCCATCCGGACGTCTGAATGCTAACTCAAAGGAGACGAGTCCTCCTCCCCTAGCACCGCGGCCGAAGCGTCTGAGTCCCGTCCTCTCTTCACCCACGACCAAGGCTCCATCGACCCCCACGCCCGTTATGAGAAAGAAGATTCCCATCCTCGGCTCGCCAGAGAAGAAAAGAATCAAGTCACCCTCGTTGCCATCTAGAAAGTCATCCCCCTCCCCCGCGCCTGTCAGCTCTGAGCGCGCCGCCCAGATCAGTGAGTTCAACGACGCCGTCAAGTGGCTCCGCGAGCATATTCCCGCCGACGTGGCCGGACTCCGCAAGCAGATTAAGCATGTTTCGGATTTGCAGCAGGCCCGTCGGTCTCGCAACACTACTATGGCCCGCTCTGCTTCCTTCTGGACTTTTTCTCCCGTGAAGATTAACCCCGATTCCGGTGAACCCCAGGAATCGACTGTGATTGAGGGGCCTAATATCGATGAGTATGGAAATGTTATTCGGGTTGAGACTAAGGCGCAGCGCATTAAGCGGCTCAGGGAAGAGGATTGGAGGATTGGTATTCGGTCGAAGCATAGTCTCTGGAAGGGGACTGAGTACTACGATAAGCTTTGCGAAACTGCTTTGGCAGAGCTTGGTCCGACAGGTTATGGATCTCGCGAATGGATGCAGCGCTGAGATCTTCCTGTCCGTTATCTTGCTGGTTTCTTTTTATTATTTGCTCTTTTTTTTCTTTTTTTTCTTTTTTCGTTTTTCGTTTTTCTTTTTTTTTTTGCTTTTTTGCTTTTTGCTTTTGTGCTTTTGTGCTTTTGTTTTTTTTTTTTCGTGGGTTACCTGTCGTGAAAATGCTGGTACAGTTTCATGACATGAGCTATCCGATTCTGGATGCTCGATGGGTATCGCATTGCTCAATCTGCCTGGGTGGTTGACACTTAAGTCATGGTTATCACCATGATCTGTTGAGCAGTGGTTTGGTGGAGTTGAGTATGCTATCAGGTTTACTGGAGGACAGCATTATTGCTTCTTCGCTCGGTTGATTTCGTACAAAGGATCACGATCTGGTCTTTTGTGTGTTTACAGCTTGGACGATCCCCTATTTCTTCAACTTAATCTCAAACTTAATCTTAATTTCAATCCAAAGTCAATCTTGCTATTCTTATCCTTCGTTCTAACAGTCCACCACCTCAAAGACCTTTGCTCGACACAACCAAATCCTTCTCCCAGCCCTCCACCTCCTTTACCAAACACACCATCCAGTTGATTCCCGAGTTGATCTTGAATCTTGCTTAGATTTTGGTCCTCGGTGAGTTTCTTGTCAGTAAGGCTTTCTATAAGTAAAACCTGGTTAGTATGCTTTTGCCTTCTCTTCTACTTTGTCATAACATTCTTTTCAATCTATAAGACGCCTTTGTCTCACCCATGTAGTCCAACACGAGCTCCTGGGGCTGTTTTTGGTATGGGTCTAGATAACCAGTGACCCAAGCGCCAAGTAGAATTACCTGGATGGTAAGAAAGAAGAGGAAGGATAGCACAATTGAAATTTCATGACGCCGTGCTACATAGGACCCTGGTGGGGTCGGGATATTTATTGCCGATCAAGGAAGGACTTGCACATCAATCGGTATGCATCATGGCATTTTTTCTCTTTTTTTTTGTTGCCAGTCTAAATAAAGTGTTGTTGGGATAAAGTAGTGTTTTGGCTCTGCAACATACATAGATCTACCACAGCTCTTGGAGCTTCAAATATTCTATTTGTGTCCTTTCATTTAGCTAGGGGGAAAGATAATAACGTATATCTTTGCACTTCAGGGGTAGAAAATATAAGATCAAAAAAGGACTGTGGATTCTTCATACAACATAGTGGGTTGTAAATAGTGACATCTCCCAAAATCACATGCGAGATCTACACTGTACATGTAGTTCATGTGCATAACTAACTAATTGGACTTTGATGATAACTTGGGGAATGTACATTTTGCTCTTAGTTTATGATAATTATCCAGTTTTTTTCTCTTTTTTTCTCCTTTTTTCTCCTTTTTTCTCCTTTTTTCTAATTAATTGATTCTATAGAATCAGCCCTGGAGGCAGTAACATTCCCGTTGTGGCTGTGCTTACGGGCGACTAAATATGCCATCCGACACAAAACTCTCTCATTGGTTATTACCCCACCGCCTAGTTCATCACTGCCTCCAGGGCTTCTTGAAGCATTTACTAATTTTAACTTCTCTTTTATTTCTATACTATACACTTTATAGATTCAATTCAGGTTCAATTCAGGTTCAATTCAGATTAAGATAGTAAGAAATCAAGAAATCAAGAGCCAAGACTTGAGACTTAGGAGTATAAAGAGCCAGGTGTTAAAAAAATAATATCGTATTTGTAGAACAATCTCCTATACATATATATAGGCTTGCTAACTATAGACTAAGCCCTATTTGTTCGTTATTTACTCCGTACTATTTGTTAGCTTGTTTACTATAATCGAGCAGAGTTTAGATGGTTTTAGCAGGGTATATAACCCCCTACATTTCTAGTTTAATCAATTAATAATTCTTCCTCTGCTTTCTCCCCACATTGTAACAGGTTGCTCAACAGTATTCATTTATAAAAATACTATATAAAGTAACTAACTATATAGTTAGTTATTCAACATGGTACTTGTGAAGTGAGAGTGGATCTAAATTATTGCCTGGCAATATAAACCAATGAGAGAGTTATGTGTCGTGTGGCCTATTTAGTCGCCCGTATGTGCTGGCGCTAAACCCTACAACCCCAAATCAACTCGAGGCTTATCGCGTCTAGAACTCCTGATCTTCCCCCTCTCTTCAGACACTCTTTTTTCTATCATTTTTTATTTTCATCTCCTTGGCCTGACTTGCCATTGAACTGCGATCTCTGATATTTCTTGGTCTACGTGTGGTATGTTTACTTCATTGGTTCTGGTTGGAATCTTCACGCAGCCAACCCCGCGCGCATGGTCAACCCCTCGCATTGGGCATTGGGCGTTTCTATATTTTCTATATCGCTGACCTTATTGTCTTGCTAGATTGGACACAATTTTCGACCTTAAAAGCCTCAGTTTTTGAATCTTCCTCCTCTTCGTCATTCTAGTCATTGCTACCTAACGGGTTCTGTGCCCATTCGAGCCCATTGCACACCGCGTCTGCCACCTTGGGCGCCTGCAGCCCTATCCCCACATCATGAGTTGTGAGTCGATATTCCATATTTGCGGGACTTTTGTCCTCTGTTCCATTTTGCTATGATTCGCCCTGTGGTCTTGGCCGAATATTGTCCGGCTTCGCGTCAGCCTTATCCATAATTCGACTCTTCACTGTGTTGGAACTACCATGACGATCTACATGCTGCCTATCAGCCCCCTATGGAATATATGGGGGCTAGGAGGACTTGGTCTTCTAGCTTTCATTTTGTGTCACGGTCTGCTTCGCCATGTCTAAGCCCTCCCCGCTCGGTCGACTCATCCAGGGGTCCTTTGCTTTATTTGTTTTGCGCGATTCATCTGACAGGCCCCGCAATTTACTAACCTGCATTCCTTTAGTCGCAAACATGCTCAACAAGCTGTCCGGGCAGCCAGAGAGCTACGAAAAGAAGTACGGCCTCCTTATCTTAGCTCCCTTGCCACATTCGCTGACCTGGTTTTCGCTGGCTATAGGGCTCTCTATAAATTCGGACGGACGCTGGGTGCTGGTACATACGGAATTGTTCGCGAGGCGGATGCCACCGACGGACAGAAGGTTGCGGTCAAGATAATTCTGAAGAAAAATGTCCGTGGCAACGAGGGCATGGTCCACGATGAGCTTGAGATGCTGCAATCTCTCCAACATCCCCACATTGTCTCTTTCGTCGACTGGTTCGAATCTAAGGTGAGCGCGTCTCTGTTTGATCCAATCCGTGCAGAGTTCTAATCATCGACCTAGGACAAATTCTATATCGTTACACAGCTAGCCACCGGTGGCGAATTGTTCGACCGGATCTGCGAGTATGGCAAGTTCACTGAGAAGGATGCGTCGCAGACCATCCGCCAGGTGCTTGATGCCGTGAACTATCTGCACAAACGTAACATTGTTCACCGAGGTTGGTCTCCTTAAGTCATACTAGCGCTTTACATGTAGCTAACCTTTGCGAAGACCTGAAACCCGAGAACCTCCTCTACCTCACCCGTGCCGCCGACTCTCAATTGGTCTTGGCAGATTTCGGTATTGCAAAGATGCTGCACAGCCCCTCCGAGGTACTGACTAGCATGGCCGGTTCCTTTGGATATGCTGCTCCCGAGGTCATGCTCAAGCAGGGCCACGGTAAGGCTGTCGATATGTGGTCGCTCGGTGTCATCACCTATACCCTTCTATGCGGTTACTCCCCCTTCCGATCTGAGAACTTGACCGATCTCATCGAAGAATGCCGGACAGGCCGCATCATCTTCCACGAGCGGTACTGGCGCGATGTGTCCCAGGACGCCAAAGATTTCATTCTCACTCTCCTGGATACGGACCCCGCCAAGCGAGTTTCCTCTGAGGAAGCGCTCAAGCATGTATGGCTGACCGGAGAGACTGCGAGTGACCGTGACTTGCTGCCTGAAATCCGCACCTACATTGCGCGTGCCCGTCTCCGCCGCGGAATTGAGATCGTCAAGCTTGCCAACCGTATCGAGTCGCTCAAGATGCACGAGGAAGAGGATGGAGATGGGGAGGATATCCCTAGCCCCATGGACATGGGCGACTCAACCGAAGAGCCAAGTGCGCCGGAGCCATCAGCGCCAAGCGACGATGCCAGTCCTACCTCTGGCCACGCAAAGAAGAAGAGTCTGGCCAGTGCTGCTCGCGGTGCTATTTTCCGTGAAGTTGTTTTGGCCAAGGTTCGTGAGCAGAAGGAGACTGAGGAGCGGGAGAAGGTTGAACGTGAAGCTCGCGAGAAGGCTGCTTCTTCGTAGATCGTTTGCCATCTTTCTTTTTGTTTCTTTTACAACTTATGTCTTGTTCATATGCTGTTCATATGTCCTGTCCTGTACTTCTCTTTTAACTGCCTGGCGGTTTCTTGGATATAATTCTGTGATTCCCATTTATCCTAGTCAATCAGAGTGAATATACAATTTTGAAGCAATCGATAAGCTTTCCCTTATTTTCATAGAGCATTTAAGTTTGATGTACAATTACTATGGAAATTTCCTTGGGAAGAACTAAATGCACCTTATGCAACCACTTATGAAAGCTACAAAGCTACATAGTAATGTCTATGACAAGTTAGAAAGTTATCTACCTTGGGCATGACCAAGATATATATAGTCAGGTGTCGATATCACGTGTATTAATAGATAACCTCCCCACCTAGCTTTAGACCCTCGTTTGTTATCTTTTTGACAATATCTCTTCTCTTCTGGCCATCTTCTACCCATTACTGCTTTAGTTCATTTTCATCTCACTTGTTAAGAGGTTCCTCGCATTTCCGTCCTCAACGTCATACATCATACATCCGTTCTACTCCACCTCGAGAGACACCGCCCCTCCTGCTCCACCGGAGCTCAATCATCTAAATATTTTCTTTCAGCACTCATCGCAACAATGTTCGCTACAAAGCGTCTGAGCAAGGTGAATATACTCTCTATATCTGAAGCCTACTGGAATGTGCATCTTGCTGACTCGATATTCACAACTTATAGGAGCTCCTTAAGGTACCAATCCCTCCCTTTTCTTCTAGGCCTTATCGCCTTTGTCCCGCCGTTTGCTTGGGAGCATACCATGGCGCACATGCATATCGTTCATCTATGAACCTATTTCGCTGACCTTTGACTTTCTAGATGCAAGAGCATGTCCCACCGGGAATTACAATCGTCAAATGTGACAATCTGGAGGAATGGCAGATGGACATCAAGATCCTTGACAATAACCCACTTTATCTCGACCAGACTTATCGTCTGAAGTTTACCTTCAGTAACAAGTACCCTATTGGTAAGCCCCATCTTCTCGGCCATCAGCCTCGGTCTCTATCGTCTCTCTCGGTAGCCCCATTCCACCACTCTTGTCCTTATCTCGTCTTGCAATTAGAGAAAATTCTAGGTTTTGACACACAATCTTTTTAGAACCCCCCCGAGGTCCAATTCATCCAATGTCCTGCCTCCACCGGCACACCTCGCACGATCCCAATGCATCCCCACATCTACAGCAATGGTATTATCTGCCTTGACCTCCTGGGTTCCGCCGGTTGGTCTCCAGTACAGACAGTCGAGAGCGTCTGCATGAGCCTTCAGAGCATGCTTACCGCCAACAATCGTGATGAGCGACCCGCCGGCGACAAGGAATTCATTGCCACCAACCGCCGTCGCATCCGTGACATCAACTTTGTCTACGAGGATGACAACGTATAAATCCCTAGCTCCTCCAAAGTTGGGAGCTAGTCCGTGGTGTGTGCAGCATAGGAGATGACCTGCGCTGGCGGGGTGGGAACATACATTGGTGTTTTCTGCATGGATGCAATCCCGCCCCTTGAGATTCGAGCGGCAGGATTTACATGGTGCCTGGTGAGATTGTATTTTTCTTCATTCTTCGCGTTTGCATTCATCCTGGCACTGGCCCATTGTTGGTGTGGTTTCCTTGCGGGCGTTCAAGGGGTTTCATTTTTTTTTTAGCAGTCCGATCAATAAGAGAGCTATTTCTCTTTAAACAATATTTGGTAAATAGAGTTAGAGTATACAAGAGAGAGGATATCAAGTAATAGATTTCATATATTTTATCATGTTCGATGTGATTGGCCAGATCGCTTATATTCCCAAAGCCAGAATAGTACAAACCATCCAAGCCCCAAGTATAAGAACGAGCCAATGTTCTCCGTTCTTCAAATAATAACTCGAGTATAATTACCTTGAAAATCAGAAATGGCACCTACGACTCAAATTGACCTTTTCCAGGGATGGCCCGCAACCGCCATGCTTCCGGTGGAACGCCTCAAACAAGCAACCAACAACGCCCTATCCAACAAAGCTATATTCACCGAAGGATTTGCCTATGGCCCCGATGAAGGCTACTCCCCACTAAGAAAAAACATAGCCAAGTGGCTATCCCAATCCTATGCACCTGCGCAGCCCATCAGCGCAGAGCGGATATGTATTACTGGAGGAGCCAGCCAGAATCTAGCATGTGTATTGCAGGTATTCACGGACCCAGCGCAGACAGAGATTATATGGATCGTGGAGCCAACGTATCATCTCGTCTTCCGGGTATTCGAGGATGCTGGGTTCAGTGGACGGATGCGGGGGATACCCGAGGACGGGGATGGGATGGATGTTGGTGCACTTGAACTTGCTTTGCTTGAATTTGGGCGTAGCAGAAACCCAGGCCGTCAAGATGGCCAGGTATGTGCTTTGTCCCATACTAAGCTGCTGATAGATTTCGGTATAACATATGCTAATGATGGAAATAGGAGAAGACATATAAGCCCCACAGGCCGTATAGAAAGATATATAAGCATCTCATCTATTGCGTCCCAAGTTTCTCTAATCCGTCAGGGACGACGATGTCTCACTCGAGGCGCGAGGCACTCATCAGAGTCGCGCGGAAGCACAATGCTCTTGTCGTCGCTGATGATGTATATGACTTTCTCAGTTGGGGCGTCACACATCCCGCCAACACGGGTTCGCATCTTCAGCCGCGTCTCGTGGATATAGATCGGGTGATTGATGGTGGTCCAGAAAATCGATTCGGCAATGTCGTGAGCAATGGATCATTCAGCAAGCTTATTGGCCCTGGATGTCGAGTTGGATGGGCTGAAGGGACGAAAGACTTCATCTATGGTCTTTCTCAAGCGTGAGTGCTCATTCCTAGATCAGAATACTGAAAGTATGCTAAAAATTTTACTTACAGTGGTTCTACGCGCTCTGGTGGCGCTCCTTCGCAACTAACGTCAACTTTCATCAATGAGCTGCTTGAGGATAACTTCTTGTCTGAATATATTGCCAACGTCCTAGTCCCAGAAGGACGACGTAGACATTGTCTTCTGGCATCGGCAATCAAAACACATCTCGGTCGTTTCGGCGTGTCATTTACTCCTGATCCGGAGACTAATTCCGTCGCAGGGGGATACTACGTCTGGGTTCAGCTTCCAGCAGAATTGACCGCGACCCAGGTGTGCCAGCAGGCCTTCGAGATGCAAAATTTGGTACTAGGTGGCGGTGAGACATTTGCAGTTCCAGGGAATGCTCCAGGGGGAGACTTGCATCGCAGGTTGAGACTTTGTTTCATGTGGGAGGATGAAGGGCGGCTAATTGAGGGGGTGGGGAGGCTAGGGCTTGTCATTGAGAATATACTTACAAACAATAAATAGAAGAAATAGAATTGGTGTGTCACCTTTGGAGTGTTTCCTTGAGTAAGACTTCTTATGAAAATGTGTAATCTCTGCTTCCGGCTTCGAATTTATTAGACATTGTTGCGAGGTCACGTGACCTTGCATGTTTCCTCCTGTAATCCAGACGGGAAGACCGCTGCACCTGTGTGATTACATAAGAGCATTTGACCAAACAATCGGAACGTCCGATTGTCGCTGCAGCGGTAGGCCCTAGACTCTGCTCGGGACCACAGGGGGTGTCGAACTCTCTCACGTGACCTAGGATCACATGCTTCCACATGTCTCCCCATATCTGTAGATAGACTACAACATAGTTCTCTCTCTCTTTCCTCCATCATCATCATCATCATCGTTGGTGATCCCACAATACAATCTATTGTGGTCTCCTCCATCTCATCCACTTGACTGTAGATCCCAACAGGTTATAAGCCTGGATCCTAACACGACCAAAACCCCCACCAAAAGTCACCGACCGACAGTCCAATCTTTTTGAACTCCGGACTTGTCGATCCAGCGTGGCTACACGTGTCGCATCACGATCGACATGTCAAGATCGTTCTTTGTTCTTTGTTTGCTTTCTTCCTTTGTTTGATGGAGTGCTACTATGCCTAATTGGGCATGCCTACTAAGCCTATTTGGGAAAGAGTCTAGTGTTTGCATTGTTCCATTGTTTGTAGAGATCCAGCTATATCAACCCCTCTGGATCTCTCTCTGCACTTCTTCTTCTCTTCTCCCCATCTTTGCTTTTCTTGTTTGAATGCACTCTTTCTCTAAAGACTTGGCTCGTAACATCGCACACCACTGGTCCCTGTGCATTTCTCAATTCCACATCCCAAACCCGGTTTCATCCGCTTGACCACCTAACCTTCCAATGGTGGTGGATTTCAATTCAGTCTGACTCATGCTCGAAATGCTGCCGACCCAACTCTTCCGTCTCCATAGTCAATTCCTCCACGAATAGAGAGCTCAAGAAACCCAATACTCCAAAAGCTGCCAGTTCATACCAGATTGTCTGCATGGCGTCCTTGTATGCATCTCGAATGAGGTCCCGTATATCAGGAGAGATGTCGGCCGTTCGCAAATAGGGAATAAAGCTGACGGCCTCACTAGGGTCTTTTAACAATGCCAAAGAAGCAGGTAAATCGATGCCGCTAATCCTATTGGCGAGGACACTGCTGAATGTCGTGGCACTAACTGCAAGACCAATAAGGGCACCGAATAGCCTGAATGAGACCATTATTCCCATTGCGAGACCCTGGTCATCGGGTGCAGCGCTGGCTTGCATTGGGATAGGAGGAACGCTGAAGATTGTCCCAATACCAATCCCCGCAATAACCTGGAAACCAGCAGTTATAGCCACTGAGGAAGATTGGTCCCATAGTGAGAGGATACCACAGCCAACAGCGAGGAAAATCCATCCAGCCCAAATTTCCCACATATATTTCCGGAAGAAGTCAACGGCGAAGGCGGTAATTCCCGTAAAGACAAAGACTACACAGCAGAATGGTAGGATCGAGATAGAGGACTTTAGCGGTGTTTCGAGGTAGACCGCTTGGAAAAATAGTGGAAGATATTGTAGAAGAGTATAAAGCACGAAGCCATGGATAAAGCTTCCAAGCAGGGACATTTGTGCCGTTCTCGAGCTGAAGATACGGTAGGGGAAGACCGCGTTAGTCTGATCCGCGTTAGTCTGATAACCCTCGTAGTCAGTCTGATAACCCTCGTAAAATGCAAATCCCACCAAAATCAAAACACCAATAATTAGCGGAACGATTGTTCGCCACGATCCCCAAGGATACATATTCCCTGCCCAACTAAGCGGTAAGGCGAGAAGAACACAACCGGCCGTAAATAGTAGCATTCCAAGCCAGTCTATACGGCTAAGCTGGGAGCGAAGTGACTGATTAATTGGTCTTAGGCGTATAAAGAAAATAGCCAGAAAGAGGGCAATACCAATTATAGGTAGATTAATCCAGCCGATCCATCTCCACGTAACAAACTCACTAAAGAGTGCACCGAGAATAGGACCCGCGATACACCCTGTAGCCATTGGAAGCGATAGTAATCTAATATATATAGCCCTCTCTTATAGAGTAGTGATATCGGCGACAATAACCTCACTTAGGACGTCGAGTCCGCCTCCGCCAAGTCCTTGTAGAACACGTCCTACAATCAGAACTGCCATATTGTTCGCGACGGCAAAGACAATTGATCCAATGCCGAAAAGGGAAAAAGCCATATAAAGAGGGATTTTACGGCCGAAGATGTCTGAGAAACTAGTATAAATAGGCTGGATGACCACAACAGCTACTGTAAAGGAGATGTTGGCCCAAAACGCGGTCAAAGTCGTACCGGAAAGTTCATCGGTGATGGCCTATAGAGAGAGAGAGTAAGGGTTAGGTGAGCTCAATAGTCATTTGAATTGAAGGACTGATTATCGAATTACCGGGATTGCAACGGCTAACGTGGTGGCATCCAGGGACACCAAGAAGACCATTAATAGCAAAGCTATAAATGTAAGATAGAATGATAGAGGCTTTCCCTTCCGGCTCCGTTGCCCTGTTTCGGAGTCGATTGGTGCTGACATGTTTGAGAGTACATCTTTTTTCTCTATACATTCGCATTCAGATTGGTTTTGAGATTGTGCTTGACACTGGGACTGAGACGGAGTTTTGGGATCTCCTAAAGATGACTGGTCGGAATATTCTTTCGTGTTTGGTGCGGTTTCTATGGATAAGGACATTCTTTGGGTATTTTGGAATAAATTGAAGATTGAAGATTGATACTCGAATTTCTCCCTTAGAGGAGAAAAATGGCTACAAATATGCACATACAACGTAGGCAAGGCTGTTCGAAGTGATTGGTAATGAGGTGGATTGGTAATCGATATCCAGGGGTGTGTCCCTTTGTTACATTCAGCACTTTATGTGATAAGATTGAAAGAAATGGCGCAATATAATCCTTGTCGTTATGTATGCGTTATCTCGCTGCAAGCGGCCATAAGGGGGTCCAAACAAAGGAAAATGGAATATATAGTACAAATGGCAGGTATTAGTTAACAACTCTAATTAACCTTGGAACTAAAATGATGACTAGACGTAATATATGGTATACTGGTATAATACTGTTAGGAGAGGTCTACGTGGTGGACGTCAAAGTGCATTGTGGAATGTGAGCAATTGATTGAGTTGAGAGTTGTAAAAGCTAAGTTGTAGAATATGAGATCCAACAAATACCCTATAAATCCATGTATTCGACCTTGTTTCTCTAAATTTGGGATGAATACATCGGCTAAGTATGCACTCGTAATCGAAATATAACCCCAGCTTACACATTGCTGAATGGGGCTTCTCCGACGGACCACCCATTACCTCTTAACGCCTCGTTCCTTAGTTCGAATATTCTGGACCAAGGAGCCTCTTTCTTTGAGGGCTTATCGGCGGATGTATTCGCTCGTCTGAAGGACTTCATTGGCTCTGTGAGCGATATTGAAATCTTCTGGATCATTCCTCCTACATCCAAAAGCCAACAATATGCCCAGACCCTAGGTTTCGCTCGAACCATGCGCTCTGAGTTTGGAATTGACTTCGCTGTTTGTGAGATGGCTAGTTTCGACAATACTGCTCTTGATGTCTTTGAGCGATTCCAACTTCGAGCGGAGTCCACATCCCTCCATACGGATATGGAGTATGCCATTCATGAAGGAGAAGTAAATGTTCCTCGCATCCATCCATTCTCCCTTGGAGGGGACCTGGTCAGGTCATCCGACGATGATCATCTTGCCTTGACTACAAGTAGACCTGGCCGGCTGTCAGATATACATTGGGAATACCAACCGACTACTCCATTGGGGAGTGATGATGTTGAAATTGAGGTTTACTCAGTGGGTTTAAATCAGCGAGTAAGTTTCATGCGCACGATACGTTGAATTCACCACGCTGACCTGATGATCAGGATATCTTTGTCGCAACCGGATCTATAGAGGTCTCTTATCTCGATTTCGGACAGGAAGCAGTAGGTATAATTCGCCGGGTGGGCCATGGTGTGAAGGACCTCAAGATTCACGACCGCGTCATGGCTTTAGGACAGGGAACTCTTGCATCTGTTATTGTGCGATCGGAGGCACTTTGCGTGAGGCTTTCCGAGGATCTTACCTTCAATGATGCTGCCCACCTATCGCTCATCTACACCACTGCAATCTACGCCCTGAGCCATGTCGCACGTTTGACGAAAGGCCGGGTATGTACCAACTAACCACAAGGTACGTTGAAGCTAACATGTCATTATAGTCAATTTTGATCCAGCGTGGGGCCACTCGCATAGGAATTGCTGCCATCCAGATTGCACACTTCTTGGAGGCTACAGTTTTCGCAACTGCGGATGACGAGAATGAAGCAGCTCACCTAGTCCACAACCTCCATGTTCCGCGGAGCCAGATATATCTCACATCTGATCCCAAATTCCCAGAATCAGTGTTAGAATCGACAAATGCTCTAGGGGTGGACATTGTGCTCAACTCTCTCCCTGGTGAGCTGGGTCATGCCTCCTGGGTCTGTATCGCAGAGTTTGGCGTTGTTATTGAGACTGAAAGGTTGGGTATCAACGAGAAGCAAAACATTACTGCTATCCGACCAAATTGCAGCTACTCTCTTGTTGACATTGGCCGAATTCAAGAGAGTAAGCCGGAACTAATAAAGGAGTGAGTTTCTTATGTGTATCATCAAGAGTTAAAGGAATGCTAACCGGAGAAAGGATTCTCACCGATACGTTGAAGTTGCTCGCCAACGGCACGATTCGCCTCATTCAACCGCCAAAGGTTTTCGATGTATCCCATATCCAGAACGCCTTTTCTGAGCTGCAGGTTTCTCCAGAAAGTAACGTTGTTGTTCAATTGCGCAAATCCGATGGAACGGGATTTCTTATCGAAAATGCTGTTAAGAGATCCATAACTCCCCAATTCGACTGTTCTGCGTCTTATCTTTTAATTGGAGGTCTCGGTGGTCTTGGGCGATGCGTGTCAACATGGATGGTAGAGCACGGTGCAAGGAACTTGATATTCCTGTCGCGGAGTGCGGGTAAAGGACCCGGTGACAAAGCATTCGTGAATGAACTCGTCACAATGGGCTGTGAAGTACAGCTGGTCCAGGGCAGTGTATCAGATCCAGAAGTTGTGGACCGCGCAATCAAGGCAGCAATTGCTCCTCTCAAAGGCATATTACAGATGTCTATGGTTCTGCGAGATGTGGCATTTTCCAAAATGAGTTGGGAAGATTGGGAACTGGCAACAAAACCCAAGACCATTGGAACCTGGAACTTGCACAATGCGACCCTTGCAGCAGGGATTGCCCTGGATTTCTTTACTTTGTTCAGTTCAATATCGGGAGTGATCGGTCAGCCGGGTCAGGCCAATTATGCTGGAGCAAATACCTTCCTCAATGCATTCTGCAACTACCGCCAACAGCAGGGTCTGGCTGCATCAGTCATTGACTTCGGCCCCATTGATGGCGTTGGTGTTTTCTCTCAGAAGGATCATCTACTGCGACAGCTAAAGAGTGCTGAATTTTACTGTATTGGCGGAAAGGAAGTCCTCGACGGTTTGGTTGTGGCAACAGCTCCTGCATCCACGATGACCCGATCTGCATTCCTCCTTGGATTTGATTCGACACTTTCACTTGACAGTGACAAGAACCGCCTAGTGTGGCGCAATGATCCACGTATGGCGGTGTATCATAATCGCAAGAGTACTGGGTCTGCAGGTGTAGCATCTGGCAGTGATGGGTTGAAGGGGTTCTTGGCTTCGGCGCGCGGAGACCCCAGTATCATGGAGACACCAGAGGCAGTTGAAATACTCGCTCGCGAGATCAGCCTGAAGGTCTTGAGTCTTCTATCCAAGGCCGACGAAGAGGTCAACACAAACCTGGGCCTTGCAGATCTTGGCATGGACTCGTTGGTCGCCATCGAGATGCGTATGTGGTGGAACCAGACCTTCCGGTTTGATATCAGTGTCTTAGAAATGATGGGCAAAGGGACATTGGATGTTCTCGCTAAACATGCTGCAGATGGAATCAGAAAAAGCTTGAAGTAGGGTCTGTATAGATTGGCTTTAGGTTTACCTATCGCTTTACTCGTTAGTATTAGGATCGACAATAGAAAGTTGTCAATTTCATTCTACAGACAAATCATATATATCTCTAGCTAGAAGGGTACTACTATCTATACAGTGCTGTATATACTTACGGAGGCGGTTTGAACTCTCAGCTATAGTATCAAGCTCAGCTAAAAGCTTAGTATTAAGCTTATTAACCCGCTCAATTGTACCTAGGTATACAACAGATCTGTCAGCAGATCACGTGCAACGACCAATGCCCAGGCAACGGAGACTCAGGAAAGAGAAGCCATGGTCATGCTCAGTGAGCAAGAGTATGATCCGCCCTAAGCAAGACCCACTCCGTATCGGATAACACCTGCACTGGCAAGCTAACCCGTTCGGGTACTACGGAACCACGTGACCATGCAGGTAGTAGAACGATAGATAGTCGACCGGTAGGTTGTATAGATAGGTCTAGTAACCTATAAATAACTTCGGTTTATATACTTAGTTATTGTTTTTTATAAACTGGTTTTTAGAGAGGTTCTGGAAGGGAATTTAGGACCATGAATTATAGTGTGGACCGTTGCGAGGTCACGTGACCTTGCATGTTTGCTCCAGTCATTTTGGTCCGCACTAGACAGTTTAGATAGTTCTTCTCTTCTTCTCCTCTCTGCGCAATAGAAGAAGACTCTTTCCAGTAATCTTACTGCTTCATCTTCTAAGAGAAATCCCACCATACAAATACATACTCGGTTGACTATAAACTGCTTCCTTAGATAAATCTTATCAAGATTCGTGAACTGCATTTTCCACACAGTTCTAAATACATGTAGTAGAAAGGGCTTGCTCTCACAGTCGTATATATCGCTTGTAAAAAATCAATTCAAAAATCCACCGTTTCGCTCAAACCAAGGACTCCGCACGCTTCTGTCATCCGTAGAACCAATATTCCGCGGCATAATCAACTTGAATCGTTGCATTTTGACCAGCACACGTAACTGGCGGGTCACCTTGGGATGTCACAACTCGATAAACTTCCTATATGGGACAATTCGGTTAGATATGTATGCTCCAGACCCCGGTAATTATAGATAACCTGAACTTACCCGAATGCCGTTCCCGTTCTTGTACCCTAGTTTAAGCCACGGAACATCGTTGGAGGATTGTGATTTTGACTTTGGCGCTGGAGTAGACGCTATTTTATTCGTAGCAATCCAGGAATTGGAACCACTCAGTCCCATGTCAAAGACCGGGTCTCCGCCGGCGTTGAAGTAATGTTCGCCAATAATGAGGTTGGTACTTCTCGTACCCTGGGCCACAAGGGCTGCCATGAACGCGAGAGATCCAATAGGAGTGGCACTGATGATTGCGGGGACTTCGTGGAGGAGAGCTAGCGATGATGAGGCAATGCAAGAGGCGTCAAAGAGTGTAGCGGCAGCCCCTGTGGCTTTGGGCTTGACGGTGGTGGAGTTGGAAATCAAGGAACCATTCCATGGACAGGTATAGTTCTGTGTTCCTCGACCCAATGCAACGTATTTGAGAGTCATGTCCGTGGATGGTGCTGGAAGTGGTGAGTTTGTTGTGTCCAGTGGGAGGAATACTTTTTCGAGAGAGCAATTTCCGAGGTTGATATTGTCGAGTTGGTGGTAAATTTGGGAGAATGAGGAAGCAAGAGAAAGAGGATGAGGAAGACCCGAGTACCCTTCCACATTTACTGCTGTGAGGAGCAGTGACAGCGCTAAGAAGAGCTTCATGGTGGCCGGGTAATTTTGGATCTATAATATGCAGACTGTTTCTGGAACTTGTTCGAGCAGATCTAGTGCTAGGGTCGTGGAAAGGAACTGGGGTATAAGGGCAAGGGTAGAATTAATAAATGGGGAGATATATCTCCTTTAATGAAAAGTCTGCTGGGGCTACTCTGATATGTAACAAAGGACATGCTCGGAGTTTGAGATGCGCCGCACAGGTAGCAAGGCTCTCGGCATAAACCGAATCCAACTAAGCGCAGTGGATTTTGGTTTAAGGAACACTTGGAAGGGACCAATAATATATTCCATATGGATCGATACCGCCATTCATATATGAGTTGTCTAACAATATACTTAGAAAGTATCCGAGCCTGGAGCCTGCTGACTGCGCTAACGGTGCCCTGAAGTTGACTTCTTTGTTGTCAACTCCACCAATCTCGAAAAGTTACTGGAGAGATGGGAAATGAGATGTTAATTCACCTTTTTGTTTGAAATGAGGATGTAACCCAGGGCCTTATAGGTTACACTAGCACCGTTGTTGTTTACTGGTGGGCAACAAACGGGTCGCCTTCGCGTTGGACAATCTTGGAATAGATTGGGGTATGAGTAATATTGTGTAGACTTTGTCAATAACAGTAGCTTGATATAACCAGCCTTAGGAGGCATATTGATCAAGTACATCCTGCCGAATCTTGGAATGCTACAGGCGCTTATTTGATGCACCTACTAGACAGCCTAGATCTCTCATTGGCTATCGGAGAGTTTCTTGTTCCTGTCCCTAGTCATATTAATAGGTAACCTTTTCCCTAAATTAGACCATATGAATCTCAAATGCGCAGGAACACTAAAGTTCATGCAGGCCTTCAGTATCCCTGATACACCGGTTGTGGGACATAAATAGACCCTAAGCGCCCTCACAGCGCCACGATTTTGAGTGCCAATCAGGCACCAACACATACATTTACCAGCCATAAAACAGAGTGTGTGAGTTGATTACATACAAGGCATAGAGAATGTAGAGATAGAATGGCACTACTACGTAGAGATAGTGGTAGCTCCCAGGGAGTTGGTCCTATGACAATGTGTGGGAGAAAATACTGCGTATTTCACCAGAGTTCCGGTAGGGGGGCCATATCCCATTCTAACACAATATAACATGCTTTGGGAGCTCGATTGCTTTTTGAGCAAAGTCCATCGTCTCCAATTGGCATCTTTAGGCTGTTACTTAGTTCATTATTCCTTTCTGTTGGGGATGTCAATATCCATCCCACCGACGTTGTTGACCGCCCAAGCTTACCTCAATTACTATGCTTATGTTATAAATCACGTGGTCAAACACAGGAGCTTCTTGTCTAATCACGTGCAGCCTAATCACGACCTTTTCATCACGAGACGGCTAGGAACACAACATCCTCAATCACCATTATTGTGACCGTTACAGCGGTTTTCAATCCGGATGTAGCTGCGGTGTTCCCTTCTGCGGTAATACAGGCTCACTCATATCCTCGCGACTTTTACATTTCGTCACCATGTCTGACGGTAAGTTTTCGCAAGCTCTCCCGCCTGACCATATACTGATCCCCACTGTAGCTGATATCGAGGCCGTTCGACGGCTCCAAGCTGAGCGCAATGCTGCGGCTGCAACTCAAAAGGGCTCCAAGACCTTTGACCAATCTTCTCAACGCACTGATAATTCAACCAAAGCCTCCCTGACGGAATCCTTCGACACCTTTTTGTACGAACGGGATGGAGCAGAGAAGTTTTCGGGCTACGATACTTCGATCGCTGTTGATGGCGATGAAGAGATGGAAGATGCGGATGAAGGACACAGACTGGTTGGCCAATACACTGCTAGCAGAAGCCAGATTGATGAGATGGCGCAAGGAACCGGCGTTGAGGAGGAGGACATTCTGCTAGGCCGTGAAAAGTCGGCGCGAATCGCAGACCGCGAGACAGACTACCAAAAACGTCGATTTGACCGTGGCGCCTTGACGCCGACCCGCGCCGATCCCTTCGCTGCCAACGCGAACGCTGAAGGAGAAAGTCAAACCTACCGTGAAATCATGGCTCTCCGCGAGATAGATAGGGGAAGAAGAGCGCGTCCAAAAGCTGATCGCAGAGAAGCGCGAGAAGGGTGAAGACGTCACAGAGCACCAGGCTACGTTGAAGATGGTGGAACACGATAAAGAAAACGTCGACGCGGCCGTTACAGTGACCACCGACAAAAAGCGAAAGAACCGATGGGGCGAGGCTACTGCCGAACCAGAGAAAAAATCGCGTTTCGATAAGGCACCTGCTGTCGAAGACAAAACCGGATCGAGATGGGATCTAACAGCATCTCTCCCAGCTGCCACTCCCGTCGGCAACCAAGGACTCGCCACTCCCATGCACCCATCCCAGGCAGGTGCCGCTACACCTGCTGTCGGGTTTGGGGTTGATGTTCCTGGTCAATTTGTTGGCTGGTCCGATGAAGAGCTCGATATCATGCTTCCCGGTGAGGCTGACGGCTATAAGGTCCTTGATCCTCCTCCTGGATATGAACCCACCCGAACGCAGGCTCGTAGGCTCACAGCCACGCCAGCACCCATTCCCAGCGCCGGTGGTGTCGGAGGGTTCATGATGCAAGAGCCAGAAAGTGTTCAGTCTGTGGGCAAAGATCTTCCAACTGATATCCCCGGCGTGGGTGAACTTCAATTCTTCAAGGCGGAGGACATGGCCTATTTCGGTAAGCTAATGGAAGGCGGAGATGAAACCAGCATGACTGTGGAAGAAATGAAAGAGCGGAAGATTATGAGATTGCTGCTCAAGATCAAGAACGGCACCCCGCCCATGCGTAAGACTGCTCTGCGTCAAATCACAGACAATGCACGCGACTTTGGTCCTGGGACTCTTTTCAACCAGATTCTCCCCCTGCTCATGGAAAGGACTCTGGAAGACCAGGAGCGCCATCTGCTGGTGAAGGTCATCGATCGAATCCTCTACAAACTGGATGATCTGGTCCGTCCCTATGTTCACAAGATTTTGGTCGTCATCGAACCATTACTTATTGACCAAGACTACTATGCTCGTGTTGAAGGCCGAGAGATTATCTCGAACCTTGCCAAGGCCGCCGGTCTTGCTACAATGATCAGTACTATGCGTCCTGATATTGACCACGCCGATGAATATGTACGAAACACGACAGCACGCGCTTTCGCCGTTGTTGCCTCTGCCCTCGGTATTCCCGCCCTCCTTCCCTTCCTCCGC